CCACCCCCACACATCTCTATCAACATTTCTCCCCAAATACCTATCCACGTTATGGTGTGGGATTACACTCGCACATAAATACTGACTGAAAGTTTTCAAGAAAACAGACAACGAATGTTGAAAGCAGACTAACATGGAACAGAATTAAACGCCATTTGTCTGGCGCAACTAAATCTGTTTTTGCCCTTGTTTGTGAGAACGGCCGGAAAAATCCAGTGAACTTTGCCGGGAAAACTCAAGGCAGCCGTAATCCAACACTCTCCGGAGATAATGTTTCCTATTTCGCCTTGAAAGCTGCATTATTTACAATTGTCCTAGGTGATTATCACTCTCCGTAGTGATGGGAAACTTTTCATTTGTATGGATCTCCTCTCTGGGAAAAATGTGGGTGGGGGGGGGGGGGGGGGGGGGTGTGAGGTTGATTGCTGCCAACTCTTTGTAATCTATAGCAAGGCCTTGTTATGTTTTGCAAACTGGTCTACAGAGTAACGAGAAGGTGCGCGCGTGTGTGTGTGTGTGTGGTAGATAGATAAACAGACATAAAAACAGGCAGATGGATGGGTGGGTGAACGAATGGACAGACAGACCGATCGAGCCACCGATCGACAGACAGACAGACAGACAGACAGACAGACAGACAGACAGACAGACAGACAGACAGACAGACAGACAGACAGACAGACAGACAGACAGACAGACAGACAGACAGACTGACTGACTGATTGATTGATAGATAGATAGATAGATAGATAGATAGATAGATAGATAGATAGATAGATAGATAGATAGATAGATAGATAGATAGATAGATAGATAGATAGATAGATAGATAGATAGATAGATAGATAGATAGATAGATAGATAGATAGATAGATAGATAGATAGATAGATAGATAGATAGATAGATAGATCGATAGATAGGTAGGTAGGTAGGTAGGTAGGTAGGTAGGTAGGTAGGTAGGGTAGGTAGGTAGGTAGGTAGGTAGGTAGGTGAGATGAGATGAGATGAGAGAGAGAGAGAGAGAGAGAAGAGAGAGAGAGAGAGAGTGAGAGAGAATTTCGCCTTTTCCAGGGGAACGAAAGAAGAAGAAGAACTTCACTCTTAAATGTGTGTCTTCCCGCGTCTAGTCAGGAGGAAGACAATCGTCTGTCCTCTTAGAGTTCAAGACGATAGCCTGTCGTTCCCCGAGGTCTTAACTTCCAATTCGCACCGAATTAGTTTTTGAAACTCACCTGGACTTAAGAGAAGAATGTTGCGAATACCTTGGACTGCCAGAATAACTAACAATGATTGCCTGTAAATATCTAATGAAAGTAGAACATTATATACAACCATGAGAAGTTATGTGGTCATGTGATGAGAAAAGGAAACATTGGAAAATATCGTGACGACTGGAAAGATCTCGGGTACAAGATGCAGACAGACTAACAGAAATGATGATGGATGGCTTAGGACAATGGCATGGAGGAATATTACCAGTGGAATTGATCCAGAACACAGTAGACCGAGATCTTTGGAAATGCATGAACGCCTACGCCGGTTAGCAAGGCACTTGATGATGATGACCCCGGCTCTCAGGTCGAGTACCAGGTAATGTCATGGAAAGCAAAGGCGGTCGATTTGATGCTGACCACATCGATTGCCGATTGGTCTATAAAAAGTCCCAATAAGCCACTGGTCGGATTGCGTCTAGAAAAAAAAATCAGTCAAGTTGAACCTGCTTTTGGCAACAAGCCGCCAACAGGCTCCAGTTATATTTGGGGTCTGGTTTATTTCCGCCACCTTCGTGGCTAAGATTCTGGCATGTCTGGCTTAATATTCCTGTCATCAAAGACAGACCGCTCCATTCTGTCTTTGTCCCCATGTGTTCCTTCTATCGTTGTCTTCCTGGCTTTTTCTAAATTGTGGATATAACAATCAAACGCAAAGTTTATACCTAATAAACATAGAAACAAAAGCGAACCTAATAAAAGCTTTTAAAAACTGTTCTTCCTGTTTTCACGACCGTATGAAAAGCTCATCGAGAAAGAGGTTGTAGCCTCATCATATAATATTCCCCAAAACAGCACTGGGGACAATATAGACAACTTATATTGTGAAGACGGCACACAGTTTTTTTTTTTTTTTTTAGTCTGAATCAAATACCACCCTGGTATACATACCCTTCTTTCCTAAGTGGGTTAAGATTCATTCTGCTAGCTATATTATGTAGTCTGCCATTCGTACCCGTGGACTGGGGCTATAAATTGTTGTGTAAACTTTATCTCGACAGAAAACTACACTAAATCTGGATTGTTTTTCTGGTTTATCTCTCTGAATGACTTTCCACTGTCGTTCCGCTCATTGTGTTGAACATGTTTCAGTCTGAGCTAAGCGCTTAACGTCGGCGAATTTCACTTGCTGCGGTTACATGTAGCGAAAATGTGTAACAAACGTGGCTCTGGGTGATGTAAATGTTACATACAGAGAGAGGTTTGGGGTTTGAACAACGGATCAACATCATGGCACAAGGGTAGTAATCCATAAGTGCTCCGAAGAAGCTCAGCACAGTGCACAGGCTCTGTAGCAGCGGCGAGGATCCTGAAATACTTTCGGTAGATTTTAAACTCCAAATTGTGCCCGTAAGGCTACTCTTTTCGATTTCCAACTGCCAAGGAATTTTTTACGTGTGTAAAATGCACACGGGCGTCCGATCTCACTACCCAGAGACCAGGGGGAATTACTAGAAGTCCACGTAAAAAAACAACTAGCTCTTACCACGGAATGAAACCGGTACCTCTAGCACTCGAGGCGGATACCATGCCTCGGGACCACGCATCCCCTTACATACAGAGAGAGAGTTGTTTGTGTTTGTGTGTGTATATATATATATATATCACATCACATTTTCATATATATTACACACACATGTATATTATATATATGAGAAAATGTAAGACAACCTTTTGTCAAGGCGTGGAAAGAGGGATGTGGGGGAGCAACACAGGATCTGATACATTATGTCGTAAAATAAAGAAAGTGATGATCGCCAACGCCTGTGGGCAAGGCAGGATTATGTTGACAATGTTACTTTTTACATACACACTTTTGTGTCAAAGAAAAGCATTAAAATAAAAATGAGCATAATCAGGAAAAAAAGCATATATCCATTTTTTCAGACGAGAGAGAAACGAAACTTACAGTTTGAAAACCACTCAGATTAAATTAAAAGATCGTGTTTGTTTCGTGCAGTGGCGATGATTGCTTTCTTGTCTTCAACTTTTTAAACTACCTTTTGTGTCTAGGCTTCGCTAGCATCAAACAGTAAACATCTTGTATCGCGCGTTGTAACCACGGCAACGGGGAGACGCGATGGGCATAGAATGTGTTACATTCCTCTGGTCGGATCTTCGCTTTCGTTTGTGTATGCTTGGCAGACAACGCTGGGCGCTAAGATACAGAGCCTGTTTTCCAGTTTGTTAAGAATACAAGAAATGTCTGGTTCGGTAAACGAGGAACTGCACAGATGGCAGTTAGATTATGGAGAAACTGCAGCGTTAACTTGTCTTGTGAAATATTTGAGAGGCGACCTGGGGAGTTCCCGGGATGTGATTCGTGATAGGGGGTAGTTGGTGGTGGTCGGGGAGCTGGTTTCTGGTGATGAACCACCAGTATTCTAGGTGTTTCTTTTCATTGAATGCCCATTGGTGGAAGTTAGTCAGTTGATTGTTTGTTTGTTGGCAATATTTTAAAAGTTTTGGTTGTTTGGCAAAGGATACAAATTGCTTGTTGGTTTAGAAATAGATTCATAATGCCTATTGCTTGGCAAAAGAAACTAATTGCTTGTTTGTTGACAGAATATGAAATTGCCTGCCGGCTGACAATAGAGATACAAATTGCTCGTTGCTTGGCAATAGGTACAAATTGCTTGTTAATGATTGTTAGTTGCAATAGACACAAATTGCTTGCTAGCTGGCAATATATACCAATTGCTTGTTGGTTGGCAATACATACCAATTGCTTGTTAGTTGGCAATACATACCAATTGCTTGTTAGTTGGCAATATATACTAATTGCTTGTTAGTTGGCAATAGATACCAATTGCTTGTTAGCTGGCAATATATACAAATTGCTTGTTAGTTGACACTATATACCAGCTGATTGTTAGTTGGCAATATATACCAATTGCTTGTTAGTTGGCAATATATACAAATTGCTTGTTAGCTGGCAATATATACAAATTGCTTGTTAGTTGGCAATATATACAAATTGCTTGTTAGCTGGCAATATATCCAAATTGCTTGTTAGTTGGCACTATATACCAGCTGGTTGTTAGTTGACAATAGATACAAATTGCTTGTTAGTTGGCACTATATACCAGCTGGTTGTTAGTTGGCAATAGATACAAATTGCTTGTTAATTGGCAATAGATACAAATTGCTTGTTAGTTGACAATAGATACAAATTGCTTGTTAATTGGCAATAGATACAAATTGCTTGTTAGTTGACAATAGATACAAATTGCTTGTTAATTGGCAATAGATACCAACTGGTTGGCGTCGGTGATTAGTTGTTAGTGGTAATACTCTTTATTCTCTTCGTCGACGTAGGTCAGTTTAGTCTGTGTGTGTGGTTGACTCTGTTTTTGTTTCTCTTTATTCAGCCTAAAATAGGTACCAGGTAATGGCAAGTGAAGTAAAGGCGGTCGGTGTGATGTTGACCATATTACCCGCCGAGTGCCTATTGGTCACTAAAAATAAGGCTATTGCACTGTATGTTCAACGAGCCGAACGAGGTGTAAGGGTCATTTATTGATTGTATTCACTGACTTATTCTTCCCGATCAGGTGACGAGCCTGTGCCGAGAATCAAATCAATCCGAGAGCGAGACGTCTTTGTTTAGAAAGTTCTTCGCCCCGGAAACCAGCCAAGTTTCCCACCCAAGCTCAAGAATATACTCGATCCGGAGAGACATAACCTCCCTCATCACCCAGCTGGAAGACTCCAAGGGATTTTTCCAGAGAATAGCCGATGGGCTGTGCCGGAAATCAGTCATCTACGACCAAGAGATGCAGAGTGACAAATGCTGGAACGGATCCGCTGTTGGCCGGTAGGTTCATCCGGTACATGTCGTTTTTGTGGATGGAGCTGCGTTTTGGTGCATGTGTGTCTTGAACGTTAATGTTTCTTTTGTTGATGTTGTTTTTGTTGTTGTTTGCTCAATGTTACTAAAAACAACAATAAAATTGATATTTTGGAGAGGCTCAGCATGATTAGAAAGTTTCCATGTGTGGGTTCCGGGGTCCTGTTATAGCGAAAGAAGAATAGACCCACTGCCTACACAAAAGCATGTCCTAAGAGTCGACCAATTTGGAGCTTCCTTCGAAGTCGGAGTGCATCTGCGTGAGAGGCAAGGAACCAGCATTCTGCGTACAAATGAATCAGATCTGTAAAACGGATGCACACGCAACACTCAGGCTCTAAAACAGGATTGCAGTCCAGAAGTGGATGAACAACCACATGTTTCTTCTAGAGTTTACAGCTGGTGAACACGAAGACGAAGAAGAAGATTTAAAAGTTGTTGAGAGAAATAAAAAGAGACAGGTCAAATATTCTAGTCACATTGCAAGACACAAAACTCATAACAGTCATGCATGGAAGGGAAAAGGTGGAAAATTGGGAGGGGTAACAAGTTGAAGGCAGATCATAGAGAAGTAGATCGTGATACAAGTTGAAGTAGATAGTGATATATGAAGGCGGAACAGTAAGAAGTAGATAGTGATATATAAAGGCGGAACAGTAAGAAGTAGATAGTGATATATAAAGGCGGAACAGTAAGAAGTAGATAGTGATATATGAAGGCGGAACAGTAAGAAGTAGATAGTGATATATGAAGGCGGAACAGTAAGAAGTAGATAGTGATATATGAAGGCAGAACAGTAAGAAGTAGATAGTGATATATGAAGGCGGAACAGTAAGAAGTAGATAGTGATATATGAAGGCGGAACAGTAAGAAGTAGATAGTGATATATAAAGGCGGAACAGTAAGAAGTAGATAGTTATATATAAAGGCGGAACAGTAAGAAGTGGATAGTGATATATGAAGGCGGAACAGTAAGAAGTAGATAGTGATATATGAAGGCGGAACAGTAAGAAGTAGATATTGATATATGAAGGCAGAACAGTAAGAAGTAGATAGTGATATATGAAGGCGGAACAGTAAGAAGTAGATAGTGATATATGAAGGCGGAACAGTAAGAAGTAGATGGTGATATATGAAGGCGGAACAGTAAGAAGTAGATAGTGATATATGAAGGCGGAACAGTAAGAAGTAGATAGTGATATATGAAGGCGGATCAGTAAGAAGTAGATAGTGATATATGAAGGCGGAACAGTAAGAAGTAGATCGTGATACAAGCTGAAGGCAGATCAGTAAGAAGTAGATCGTGATACAAGCTGAAGGCAGATCAGTAAGAAGTAGATCGTGATACAAGCTGAAGGCAGATCAGTAAGAAGTAGATCGTGATACAAGCTGAAGGCAGATCAGTAAGAAGTAGATCGTGATACAAGCTGAAGGCAGATCAGTAAGAAGTAGATCGTGATACAAGCTGAAGGCAGATCAGTAAGAAGTAAATCGTGATACAAGCTGAAGGCAGATCAGCAAGAAGTAGATAGTGATATATGAAGGCAGATCAGTAAGAAGTAGATAGTGATATATGAAGGCAGATCAGTAAGAAGTAGATAGTGATATATGAAGGCAGAACAGTAAGAAGTAGATAGTGATATATGAAGGCAGAACAGTAAGAAGTAGATAGTGATATATGAAGGCAGATCAGTAAGAAGTAGATAGTGATATATGAAGGCGGATCAGTAAGAAGTAGATAGTGATATATGAAGGCAGATCAGTAAGAAGTAGATAGTGATATATGAAGGCAGAACAGTAAGAAGTAGATAGTGATATATGAAGGCAGATCAGTAAGAAGTAGATAGTGATATATGAAGGCAGAACAGTAAGAAGTAGATAGTGATATATGAAGGCAGAACAGTAAGAAGTAGATAGTGATATATGAAGGCAGATCAGTAAGAAGTAGATAGTGATATATGAAGGCGGATCAGTAAGAAGTAGATAGTGATAAAAGCTGGACAGATTTCCTATTGAGTGGATTCCCATTTACCGTTTCCCCGTTTCCATATGCACAGAGCTGGCACTTAAAACTTTTGGATTGACTATCCTGGCATTCAAGATCACCACTCTTTCATTTGTTTTTGTTTTTAAATGAGATTGATAAACAAGGGTACTTTCATTTTACTTAAAGCAGAGGAAATCCGGGAGTTCCCGATATAATCCAATTATTTCAGTATTTTTTGGATAATATGTGTTTTGATAACCCAAACTCGGAACCTAACCTCAACCTTAAAACCTAACACGTGTTAGGTATAGCTACTTTTTATATATATCTACCATGTTTGTTTAGGATGAATTAAAATTGAAGTACCTACGCAAGAAATTAAAGACACGAAGAAAAACATTCATCTTTAGCGATCTCTGGTCATGCGCATAATCCACTGTGGGTCATAAACTGGAATGTCTTTTCAGAAAAACATTCAAGAATAAATAACAAAGAATACCAGACAAAGACACTTTTAGTGTTAAAAAAACGCTGTGCGCAAACGGTGAGAATTGACTACAACATTTTATGTATCTTTGACCTCATAATTTGTTTTCCTGAGCTATGAGCAAACAAGGAAAAAAAGAAGAAGGGGGAAAAAAAAAAAAAGGAATACTGCAAAATAACTGTTTTATGTTCAACTTCAGTTTGTAATTTAGAAACATTTTCAAACATGACAACCCCCAGCTTCCAAGCTGTTTGGTGAGAAACATCTTCTCTAGCGCGTAACTTCATAACATCTCACATTTCCCTTTACTTGTCGCTTCTCGGGTATCTGCCGCACACATTTGAATTGCAACCTTATGTTTTAGCTTCTTGTTTGTCTTCTATTGCTTTCCCGGCCCCCCCTTTTTTTTTTTTTTTTAATGTCTTACTTGGAGGAAATTTTTTTTTTCTTTTTTCTTTAAACACTAAAGTAGGTTTAGCTTTAAAATATTTACCAGAAATGTAAGCAGTTAGGCAAACAACTAAGGGGAACTGTCAATATAAATATTGATAAATCGTGATTTAGGAATGCTTGAAATAGAAAAATAAGAAGAAGAAGAAGAAGAAGAAGAAGAGGAAGAAGAAGAAGAAGAAGAAGAAGAAGAAGAAGAAGAAGAAGAAGAAGAAGAAGAAGTACAAGAACAACAACAGTTACAGCAGCAAAAGCAATAACAACAAACATATACTCTTGTAAAAAAAAACATTTATTTCTCTCAGAACGCATTTAATCTTTAGAAAACTGACTCTCCCAATTACTGACTCAAATTACTATATGCCACCACCAAACACCGAAGACCACCTTGTCAATGTCCTCCATATTTGAAAGACGTGGATATACCTACAGGTCTCCCAGACAGCCATGTCTCGTTTCATCTGTCGATTTCCGCCCTCGGCCGGGTACTTGTTATCTGGCCAGTATTACTGCATTTCGAAGTCATTATTAGACACAGCGCTAAACACGAGAAGCGCTGACATGGGCCTTGTCTGACGCTGTGGCATGTCTCTGTAGATTGCTTTACTTGCGTTAAAATATCTGGCGCCTGCTGCGGTGTGTCTTGGGGTGCTGTTTTGCGGCAGACGTACAGACGAGCTGACAGCTTTATTAACTGATAGGCTCTGTCGAATCGAGAGTCCAGAAATGCTATAGTCAGCACAGGCACAACAGGATGAAGAGTTCTTTTGGAATGCGAAATTATTTCAATTAAATCTTAGCTTACTTCTGCCTTTAATTGCTAGGAGGTTTCAAATGAAAATTGTAAAAGTAATATGGAAATTAAAATAGTCATGTCTTTGTGTTGTAAACTGTCATTATTGCTGTTGAGGATGTCACGGGTGTCAAGCATATTTACATTAGGGTTCCGCCAAATACTGTTACGTTATTATGACAGTTTAAAGATCGTATGTGTTGGCAGGGGGGGAGGGGGTTGGTTTTTCCGTAACAGTCTGTTAACGGCTATGTTTTGTCAATATATTGTTTCCTTACGTCTTGTGTTTATCTGTTTCATGGTACATCTATCTAGTTCCAGGCTATCACAGTCGCCTTGTATTTAGTGCTCACCCTTTCAATTGTTCTATGTGTCTAGTGTCCACCCTTTCCATTGCTCGTTGTGTCTAGTGTCCTCCCCTTCCTATTGCTCTGTGTCTAGTGTCCACCTTTTCCATTGCTCGTTGTGTCTAGTGTCCTCCCCTTCCTTTGCTCTCTGTGTCTAGTGTCCACCCGTTCCATTGTTATTCACACCAACCCGTTTAATGTGGCCGAATGATCTGTTTTTTTGGGAAACGATAACATCTCACTCAGGTTTAATAAAATACTTAACTTACTGCCCAGTTTGGAAGGGATTTTTTTTCCCTGTCACCAGTGATGATTGTAATCTAACAACAGCAGCTCATTTTGATGTCCTTCCTATGCGGACAGTGTTTTCACCAAGCATATCGGGGATTTCCTGAGTGACGGTTATTGCTTAGTTCTTTTGAAGCTCTTGTTTGTCTACGGACATTCTTCGGTGTCCGAACCGTAGGCGTGAAGATCGGACGCTAAACTCAACAACTCTTGTCTTTGCGGGGGATTAGTTTTAAGACACCGTAACCCAAGATTCCGTGGACTGACTGAAGTGTCAACATTAGTCATGTGCAAGAAAGCTTGTTCCCACGGAAGAACCCCCTCAAAAAACGAAAACAAAATACTCGCCGCTGCAAACGTTTGTGGTCTTTCTTTATCACTGAACTACTTTTGTGGCCTAGTCATTGCGACCGCGCTTTGTTATGCCAGAGTGCCCGGTTCGATCCCAGCTGGGAACTAACTAACAGTGTGAACCAAGGGAGCTGCCGTGGTTTTGCCTAGAGAGTGTCGATTGGCCAATAAAATATGGGCTTAGTAATGTAAACACAGTACGCCTATGGACGTGGAAAGTTTTTTTTTACTGTGAATAAGGAAGGATTTATACCATAGTCTCAG